TGATGTCTGTTAAGTTTTTGTGTCGTTGGGTTGCTGTCTTATTGGCGTATACCCACATCTTCTATGATGCATATTGTATTAATATTCACATTCATCTGATAGAGTATTGATTGTTTGTGTAAAATAATAATAAAGATCCTATGGTCAAATATCATTTTTGTCAATTATAGTTAGTTCAGAAGCTATAATTTATTTACGATTTAATTAAAATTTTACTAGTCTCAGGAGCAAGATAAAACATCTTATATGCTTTCATAGGCCATCTCTTAAGGACTATCAAATTATGTTGTCAAAGAAAAATCAATCGAGTTAAGACTGCCTTACTTAATTTATCCCTCATTTATTGAACATAATCTTAGACCGAAGATTCAATGTCAACCGATAGATCACTGTTTATTTGCGAACCGTTAGTAATTGGAATATTGTTTGTCATCCTTATCAAACAATGGCCAAAGATGGACACAACTAGACAGTGTGACGAAGTGACGAATTTAGTTATTTTATTGACGGGACACTATTATTTGTGAATCATCAGAAACAAACTGGTCAATCAAAGCCTTTATTTCTAACAATGAATTCTCCAGTCATTAAATCTACCGGGAAATCAAGATAATGCTTCTTTAATGAAGCGATTCTTTCTAATTCTAATAGACAAATCTTCTCGACAATTGAAATGGAAAATACCCCTTTTATTTATAATACATCCCTGGCTTTTAAATATTTAGGTTTGATCGTTGCTGATGAAGATAAAGCCAGAAAAGTGAATCAGACGCAAACAATAAGTGTTATTTTCTATCTTTTTTATTTTTTCTGAAAAGAAACATCTCATGAAAACTTCCCTTAACTTTGTGATCTATATTCGTATTTATTTTTGGGGTCCTACTTGTATCTGCAGTTGTTTTTCAGTTGTCTTGTGTTATAGTTCTGATCAAGTAAAGTGGGTTTATAATGCACGAGGTTTTCCTCAGCTCAGCTCAATATGTGGTATTTTTCTTTTTGTTTAAAATTGTTTAAAGATTTTTGGTGTCTTGCTAGTGATGATAAAGCTCTGTTTTAGTTTGTTAAGTTGTTTTCTATGTTAAGGAAAACAGCAGTGTTCCTTTTTCCGCTTATTTTAAAACTTAAATGTGATTACATGAAAAGTAAGCAATTTCTGGACAGTAAGTAAAACTATTACACTTTACGATATAAACGCCTGCAAAATAAGACAATGAAACTATAGCGGATAATCAGCAATGATATCAGATGAAATAATTAAGGTCAAGTGATGAACAGATTTGAAACAATAAGCTTTTCATGCTAATAATGAAGTATAATTCTAATGAGGTAAACCCTTAATCTAACATGATGAGACACAAGGAGACAAGCAATCAACACAGTACACCGATCAATGACCAAAATCAACGAATCGTTAAAACAACATGGCATCCTGGAAAAACTGTCGGATTATTTTCTCCTCGTTATTACTATAACTGTATATTACAATTATTTAAGTTCTATATCACGCTTTGTTTCAAGAAATTGCCTAGCCGTTTCTGGGTTGTATTAAAAACTATAAACGATTGTAATCTTCAACGAAAAAGGTAAATACCTGACTGCTTATTAAGTTTCTAGAGAGAAAATAATGAACAAATGATGACATTTCTTTCGCGTTCGAGTGCATTTCTTTCATTTGTTACTTCAGTTAAATATTTTCTTCGCAATTACCCGATGACTAAAATGCAGCAGAGGATCTTCAAAAAGAATCAAAACTGCTTGAAATTATTATAAGCAGAAATGACATAGGCATTTAACCTGATGACTACCATCTTTTGATGTAAAACTGATATACAAAGGTATCAAGAAATATAGCAGTGTTCTTTGAATACGATCTAAACTCTACTGTACATCTGCTATTTCAGGTTGCACTTCTGTCAATATAGACAAGGCAATTTCCCATAGGATTTTTTTTTTACGGCTAAAACTGTGCCACTTTTACTATTAAATTTCGTTAAAAATTATATCCTAGAATGGTTAGTTCATATGCACTACAATTTTTTTTAAACGACAAAACGTAGGGCTGTCCGGCATATTTTCAACATTTATACATCTCGAACTTCTAAGAGTTTAAACTTATACTAAAGTTCTGTACTACCCCTCCCTACACATTGGGTCTCCTCAGAATTCAATTTTGCTGCTATCCACGTGTATTTCTGCTGGTAAAATTCCTAAGTTGTGTCTCTATGAGATGAAACATAGAGATCATATCTGGGAACCAGTAGGTAAACAAAACAAAAATATCTATGAATATTAAATATCTCTCCAAAAAAGGCGTGGTTTGTGAAACAGCTGTATTTACAAAGTGCAATCTATTAAGGACAAATTTAACTAGAAGATAGGTCACAGAGGTTCCACATATTTTTAAATACTTTTGTATATCAGTATCTATATTTAAAAATGGTAGGTATCAGGTCAAATGCTTTGATTCCTATTAGAGATTCTCGGCTGCATTTTAAACATCGATTGTGTTTAAGTTCAACTAATTTTTTACCATGATCATCAACATTTTCTTCCATGTCTGGTGGGTTTTAAAGTTAGAAAACGGAAACGATTTTTGAACATCTCCTTAGGGGGACATAGTTAAACTTAATTTTTAACACCTTCCGGAGAATCATGTCATCACTGAACTCCAAGGGGTTTCAAAGTTAAAGAGCTGAATCGATTTGTCAAGAAGCTGATTACTATAGGCCTTCCGTCAATTGGTCACTATAAATATTATACATGAAAAAAAGATGAGAGGAATTACGAAAAATCTTTGACAGTACCAAAGGTTTTTTATAATATAAAAAACTAAATTGATCGGTTGGTCGTTTTTTTCTTCTTCTTTTTTAGCCATGGCGTTGTCAGTTTATTTACGACTTATGAGTTTGAATTTCCCTTTGGTATCTTTCGCCTCTCTTTTAGTACAGGCAAAAACTCCTGTTTCTTAAAACGCACATTCTCAAAATGTCCGGTAAGTATCGACATCAGGTCATTTTCACAAAAAAGTATCTACTTTATAGATATATTATATGTTTCTCATACTAAATCCTCTTGGCAATCCTACTTTCGTTTTTTACCCGCCAAATATTCAAGAGATCATCAGGCCTGAATCTTTGAAAAATGTTTGATGACTATGATAAAAGCTTCTCTCAGATCAGGATATTGAAAATAACACGACCATTGCCATTTTTATAGTGGTAAGAAGGAGGAGAGTTAAAAATGAAAAAGTTTGAATTTCAAAAGGAGAAAGTTAAAAATCCCTAATATTATATAAAACACATAACAACCAAGTTAACCTTTGTATAATAGTGCTGAACATAATTACCCCCTTGGGAGCACAACATTTGCGCGCATTTGGCGATTACAATGTTTTACGTTCGCGCGCAGCTTTTTATTACATTTGCGTGCCTTCATTTTACAGGTAATATGTAACGGTTAGTCTATGGAATAGTCTATACGTATACAATATGAAATTTAGAGCGAGTGGCTTGCCCGAGCACTTAATGTCTTAAGTATATACCTTTCCATTGACTATCCAATTAAGCACATATTTACAACTTGAGTAATCTTTTAATTGGTCTATTGATAGTTTATTTTGGCTGACTACTTTTCACATGTGTTTGTAAAACGGAGTTCATTATCTAAGTTTTATGTTACGTAAATTTACTCACTAGTATCATAGCTATCATATTTGTTCAAAATTTTATAAATGCAACAAAAATGAATTGGGAAAATAGCGGTGTACACGTCAATCTCACATAAAAATATGTGATTTTAAAATGCCCTTGGCTCCAGAGTGAATAGATGGTAGCTACTGATGTAAGTATGTATATTGATATCAGGCGGTGTCTTAATACAGTTACTTCTTTATATGGTAAGATGACAAAATAAATTGACCAAAAATAGGCATATATAATTAATTTGTAGTGTGAGCTTTACATGTTTTGAAAACATTTTTCTATTTCAGAGTGAAACTAAAGCTATAATGAATTTGAAAAATATAGATATATGTGCCCATAGATAGTCTAGCAGACAGGCATTAAAAATCAACTACCAATAGATAAAAAAATTAGGTTTTTGTTTTTGTTTTTTTTTTATTTCAAAGTAAAAAGTAAAAGATTTATCAAAGAATAGATGTATGTGCCATATTCCCTTCAGAAATTATCACGGTTTTTCAATTCATGATGAAATAAATCAAGGCTCTTACGATAGTTTAAAAATCATCTTCAAGTTGCCTTAATTTCATGATTGAAATTTGCAATTGTCAAAAATATTTTTTAAAACCAAAGATTTTAATAGCAGGATATATAAAAACCAAAGCAAATGTTTTTTTTGTTTTTTTTTCAAATTTGGGACGCAGCATTTTATTCCTAAATAACCAGTGGCAATTTTTGTTTTTAATATCTTGATTACGATACAATTACATCTTACCAATTGTGGTCATTCGAGCACAGTTACTACTACACGGAAAAAGTATAAATAGAACTCCTGAAAGGTACAAAATGTTTCTAGTCTACCTTTAGTATAATTTTCTGTACAAAATGTCTCTAGTCTACCTTTAGTATCATTCTCTTATTCATTCATTCTGTCACTCATAGTAACGATATATACACAAAAAACAACCAAAAACCAACACAACAAACAATAACCCATTAATAGCTTTGTCTGCAAGTAATACATTATCGAAATCAAGTTTATGATAAGTTTACACTTGTGGTTAACTCTCTTAAGAATCACTTTATTACAAGTGTTTTAATCCTACCTATCCCATTATCTTTTTTTCACCGATTTTGGAAGTATACCTAACCATCGCCGGTCTGTTTCAATGATGGACACCCTAACTTCTATGGACAATGTGATAAAAAGATTCTAGTCATCAAAGTCTGTGCTGCTAATTATTTTTGTCTATTAAGAAGAATCGCGAAAATCTTGATGAGTCTGACCTAAAACCATTCATCATGTTTTATCTTTTTTTTCAGAAAGGAAGTTCTGAGAATTTCTACTTAGAAAAAAAGCCAATTAAACAAGTATGGTCGCACAAAATCTCTGATCAGAATACCATTTACGTGAAATATTCAGGAAGAAAAAAGTTATATTGAATTCTATGCTAAGATCTCTTCACTCAGAATACTGTGATAATTGAGTCGTATATACACTACAATGCATTACGAAAATTTAGTTGTACTGCAAAACAGAAGCCATAGTTCAGATTTATACAACAGTTTAAGTGGTAACAACCTCACATGTGAATACGATTATTTTACCCGTGACGTCAGCATACTCTGGGAAGTTGTTCTTAGTCCGTTTGTAACATTAATGACAATTTGTACCAATCTCTTTGTGATATGTATATTTACCAGTAAAGTCCTACGGTCGCCAACAACAATAATTTTGATTGGTTTAGCTGTATCGGACTCTATGTCGTCACTTTTTGCTAACGTATTACACCCGTATTTTTACTTTACAAGTGACAATGACAAAAATATACTTCCATATCCTTTATGTTCGGTATATATGCTGCTTCAGAACCTCGGCGTTTCCTTTCACACAGTGTCCGTATATCTGACAGCATTTCTAGGCATACAGAAGTTTAGTATTGTGGCTTTTCCGTTCCGGTCTAGGAGAATTTTTACAAAAACAATGTCGTACTGGGCTACAGTTATTATATACATCGTCGGATTTGCCATTTTCTCACCAAATTATTTAGTCTTTGAATTCTCCCGCGCCGGTGATGTAGATTCACCTAATTGTAAAGACTATACGGAAAACCAAGACTACTGTCTGTTTCGCTCTGCATCTTGGTTGAACGGTGGAACAAAGAAACATTATCATATGTACTATTATATGACACGATGTATAGTTATCCAGATTATACCATGTTTTGTTATAACATTTTCCACTATATATTTAGTGCGAAGTTTAGTTAGTAACAAAGTTTCCATGGCAACAGCAGAACAACATCGGCGGAAGCGTCGTTTGACAATAATGATAACATTAATTGTTGGAATATTTCTTGTTGTCGAATTACCAGGGGCCATATTTTTCGCTTTCGATTTTCATAGATTTCTGACAGGCCAGGTTGTAATTCCGGAGGATATTGATCATTTATCCGTCCGTATTCACAATTTCCTGTTGTGTCTTGGTTATGCTTGTAATTTTTGGATATACTTTGCCTTAAGTGATCAGTTTAGGACACAGATAAGGAAAAGTTTACGACGTTTACATATAACAAAGACGACTAACACGACAAGAGTTATAGTAACAAGATCATATTAAATGTATGACAATGGAAGCGAATTACATATATGACACTAATGACAAATCACAATTCATCTAAACCTTACTTAAAACTTTGAAATAAGGAATTTATTTTTATGTTGTCAACCAATAAGGGTTGTATTGATGTCAATAAAGGACTATCTTTTTCGAAAAAAAAAAATATCTTCACTCTTTGAGATTTACCTTATGAAAACGAACAAATACAGACATTACTGATTGCTCAAATCCACGTCATTTGGACTCTGTTGGTTAGTTGTCTAATTGGCAACCAAACAACATCTCCTTTTCATAATAACTGAACACAACCGGGAAGTTATTGGAATGTGTTCACCTTTAAGCAAAGTATAAGCACATTTGTTTTTATTAATTCCTTATTATTTTATCACTTTAAACAATAAATTGATTCAAGTAAGTCTTCCACTCACCACCCCACATTGAAAAAAAAAGCAAAAAAACAAAAGCAAAAACAAAAACAAAACGAAAAAAATAAATAAAAAACAACAAAACACGTGTTTTTACATGTAGTTATTCCCCATACCCGAAAATAAAATAAACCCCAACCAAACAAAAAGAAATATTACCGATATAGATGTGTACTAATACACTATAATTATATATATTGATGTATATCAGAATGATGAATGAAAGAGAGGTTCTAATAAAAAATAAGGAGATGTGGTATGCAACTATCCACCAGAGTTCAAATGAAGTGAATATAATCAATTATAGGACACCGTACGCCTTCAACTATGACAAAAACCCATACCGTGCAGTCAACTATAAAAGGCCTCGATGAAAGATGGGAAACAATTCAAACGAGTAAATTAACAACATAATTTATAACAAAACAGTTAACGAAAAACAAACAAATAAAGAATGTGGCGGGATTAAACATGTTTACCCTCCCCTAACCTGGGAAAATGGCGTAATTGATTGCCAATGAGACAACTATCACTAAAGAATAACGCATGTAGATGTAAGCAACTATATGTCACCGTACATTTTAATAATGAGCAAAACCCACACTTATAGTAAGGCACCTGAGTGACAAACTTAAAACGAGAAAACCAAACTAAAACCCTACACCCAAAAACAGACAGAAATAACTGATTTATAGGCACCTGATTTGGGACAGACATATACAGAATGTGTCGATGTTAGACATGTTTTGAGTGTTCAACACTCTAACTCGAAACACAAGTGTAACAGCACAACATAATTTAAAAATATGTTGGAAAACGTTTAACTCATCAGATCGGGACGGAGCCCCCTTCCCCCCAAAAAAAAGAAAGAAAAAAAAAGGCAAACGACACAAAGCACCAATATAAGAGAACTGATAGATACTGAAAGCTAGTACAAAGTCCATAAGAATTTATGATGAATAAATCATATTTATTTACACACTACAAAAATTTTTGTTCTTTCGTTGGATAGTAAATTCATCTTTAGATGTCCGTGTTTTTCGAGAGCAGTCCGTGTTTTTTCGAGTGCTTCCATGTTTTATCGAGTGAAAACACAAAATTCATATGGCAAACATTTTAATATGTCAATGCATTTACGTTTCAAAAACAATGAAAAGGTTGAATTAAGTACTTAGTCTAGTACTTTTTAAAGCACGAAACCAATGCATTAAACCAGTTTGATTATGCTGTATTAACACGTACATTTCATAAATTGTATCGATGATTTGTATATATTGTTGTTTGCCAAGTCATATAAAATTGAGAATGGAAATGGGGAATGTGTCAAAGAGACAACAACCCGACCATAGAACAGACAACAGCAGAAGGTCACCTATAAACTACACGAACACCAGCATACGTATACTTGGATAGATAAAAAAAACATGTCTGCACACAAGTAAAAATTGTTCATATCATGAACGTCCACTATATTCAACCCACACAGGTTTACGTACATGTATGTTTAAATCGATCCATCATGTCCGCACCCATGTAAACATGTCAACGCCAAGGTAAACATGTACATATTCACACATACGTATACTGATGTGAACAATTTCCATGTAAGTGTACCGATATGGATTTCATAAAGTAAATATTTCGTGATGTAAACAAACTTGATGTGAACACAGAAATGTTTGATTGAGACTTAAATACACATAGTGTGTAAAGCAGGTAAATGTGTGTATTTTAACAGAAAATACATCCTAAATGTTTCACGAAGTGTGATCAAGCGTATGTTATTAAGCTTGGTTACACAATAATAAAGCACCATCATAGCTCCTTTCCATCAGAAATTAAAAGAAGAAAAATTGACAATGTATATTTGTGAGGTGTACGCATATTATATACTAATTTTATTTTTTTTCTTATCATTTCAAAAGAATCGTACTAAAGCTTATGATTTCATGGTTTATAAAATACATTGGATAAGTCCACGATGTTATCATCAGCTCAGTAGTCAGTACATCGGTACTGACATGATTTATAACAAACCTCTCTAAAATTGGGGGCTGGGGAATAGACATATGGTCACTTAGGTCCGACCGGCAGTTAAACCTTTGCCAAAGTGGGGCGTCCGTTTAACTGTGTGGGATGTACAAGAACACAGTCACGTCCGGTCAGAACAGGGCGTGTAAAGAGAGTGTCACACTTTTTGCACGTTAAGAATCCTTGCAACAACTCTTTTGGAGGTCCGTAGGTGGCATTTTGCAAGGCAAAATTTCTGTAACTACCCAATATACCCTCATGTTTCAGTGGCAGTCTAAATTTCCCGACCTTCGTCCAGAACATCCTCTATTAAAAGACCTACCTATTGTATTTATTGTTAATTTGTTCTCGTCCTGAACATGCATGCAATGTTTGCCACAGGACGATAAGCAGCCAACAATTAATCATCTAAAATCGTCCGTTTTTAAATTTTAAAACTATAAAGAAACTTAGGTTTCAACTTCTTCAGGCAAATTTGAACCTTAGATAGATTTGGCTACTTTTCATATGATATAAGAAGATGTGGTATGAGTGCCAATGAGACAACTCTCCATCCAAGTCACAATTTGTAAAAGTAAACCATTATAGGTCAAAGTACGGCCATCAACACGGAGCCTTGGCTCACACCGAACAGCAAGCTATAAATACTAGTGTAAAACCATTTAAACAGGAAAACCAACGGTCTAATCTATATAAAAAACGAGAAACGAGAAAAACTTATGAACCACATCAACAAACGACAACCACTGAACATCAGGTTCCTGACTTAGGACAGGTGCAAACAAATGCAGCGGGTTTAAATGTTTGAATTGGCGCCAACCTTCACCCTACCTGAAACAATAGTGTAACATCACAACATAGAAAGACACACTATAAAATATCAATTGAAATGGCTTAACTCAATTAAAAGACATATTAACAAAAACAAATGAACATACACTGAACGAATAAATTTGATCTATGACACAATGTAAATACAAAATTAATAAAACAAGGGGTTCAGATTTAAAACGATATCAGAAAGACAACCATAACCCTTGACAAAATGCCGCCAAATAAAATAACGTATACAGGTAAATAAAAATAATTTTGTTGTAAGGTATACATGGAGTACGGAAATAATTTTTACAGAATAAATAATTTTGTTGTTCCTAGTACGAGAACAAAAGTGAAAATTTATCTTCATACTTAACACTTATCAAAGGTGGTATATATTAAAAATAGTGAGACCAGATATAACACTGAATAAGTAAACATTAAATAAAAAATGTACATTACAAATTGTATCAACAGGTCAAATTAACACGAAAGTACGATTTGAGAGTACTCGCAGTTACTGAAAGCTAGTTAAAAGCCAAAAACAATTAATAATAAACATACATCAGAGACTAAAATCAACTAAAACACATCCCAGGGATTTAGTGTTTTAATGTCATGGCATGACTTGTGCAATGCCAAAATAAAAGCATCGACAGACAGTAGGATAGTTAGGAGTTAACCTGTTAATAAATATGTATAATAATAATAATAATAATAATAATAATAATAATAATAATAATAATAATAATAATAATAATAATAATAATAATTAAAAACCAATTGTTCAGAGAACAATTGAAGGTCTTTCCACTCATAAAGATCTATTTTGAAATAGAACTATTAAAATTTGGTTTAAAATATCATATTCAGCGTCTAATGATAGTTTATTGTACACTGATTCCAAAAATACATGGTTTCTATACATTTTTTTCAAAATAAGGGAGATAAATTGTTATTTCCGGTTTGAAAGATGTCACTTCCGGTTTTATTTGATAGTTTACTTGATACTGATTCCAAAAATATATGGTTTAATATACTTTTACATTAAATAAGTACAAAAAATAGCTACTTCCGGTTTACACAAGGTCACTTTCGGTTGGCTTTTCCATGGTCAAGTGGCTTGCAACATAATGCAAAAAGTCTTACGGCTTTATCACGTATACTAACGAGGAAAAAGCAAAGGTCAAAATCTAGAACGTCAAATTTACCTATGACCTTTAGCTCAATTTCAAGGTCATAAACCGAGGGCTTCAAATCAAAAGACCATAGGTCTTAATTATATATGGTTAATGAGTTATATCACTTTACGCCTAATTTTTAACATAAGAGGGGAGAAAACTCCAATTTAATGTTAGCGTATTATTTCAACCAAAATTTATGTGTTACGACATGTCGCAACTTACAATTTAGTAAAAATATCTTGTCGATATCTTATACGGTTTTTGAAAAGAAGTGAAAATAAGCAAAAATCAAAATTTAAAATATGACCTTGACCTCTGACCTTGATCTTATTTTCTTTTTTTTTGGACCAAGGACCTCAAATCAAAAGATCCTAGGTCTCTATCACTTTTTGTTTAGAAGATAGAAATGCATATCACTAATAACAAACGCATAAGGGGAAATAACTCTCATATGGAGTGTTCATAGCGCTTCGGTCAAAATAGGACAAATCATGCGAAGGATATAACGAGCAATTTTATAAAATAAATTTGTCGCTTTCTTTTACGGTTACAGAGGAGATGCAGTCACAAGGAAAACAGTGTTCGGGGAGATAACTCCTACAAAGAAAAGTATTTGGTTACGCAGGGTGAATTTCAAAGGCGCATAAACTGTTCGATATCATATACCAAACATCTAAGCGACATCTTGCGAAACAAAATTTATACGCAAGAAAGAAAGAAGAAGAAAAAAAAATAATAATCAGAACAAATACCGAAAAGTGGAAAGACCTAATAATAATAATAAATTCTTTATTTTCAGAAGGCAACACAGATAACAAAACATTTAATCCACCCAATGGCCTTCTACATTTACATATACATACACAAAGATAAACAAAACAAAATGCTATTACACTACATGTGTACAAGATCACAATCATATATAGTACAGATAGAGCAATACCACCGACATGAAAAAAGTATCGGCTTTTTTAAACATATCTTAAAATATCTCATCCTTTAAAAATGCACAGTTATGATTGTAAAAACAATGTTACTTTAAATACATAACAAACAGAATGAAAGCCATTCGATACAGATTGATAAAAGGCTGCTATATCACATCAAAACAATTAATTTGAATAAGAATACTGCACAAAAGTGAAATATACCCTTCCTCGTCAATTATAATACAATGTAATTGTTTCAATTGTAAGATCGTAGATTACAAGAAACGTCTGTATTTATTTCAGTGTCATTAGAGTATTTGTAATTATCTCTATAATTATTGCAATTTCCATGGAAATTTTGATTTGTTTTAATTCAGGTTGTCGTGAATTTTTTGGGAGAAGATTGCATGCAAAAGATCTCAGAATGTCATTATTTTCAAATAAAAAGGGTGATACAGAATGATGAACTTCTCATGTTGACGAACAATGTCAGTAAGTATCAAAGTTTTCAGACATACAGACAAAGGAGTAGCGTTCACAAAGTGACATTTGTCCCAATATGCCAAAAACTGTCGAAGACCGACAACTCCCGCACAAACTGTCAATTAAGAACGGCGGTGAAATATGGTGACGAACATACACATGCTGACAAACAAACCTCATAAGTATGAGCAGCATTCGGGAAAGCAGTGTCAGAGGAGTTATATGTTACGCATGGACGCGTTCAGACGTAGCTGTTGACTATTACTATGTCCTTGACCACGATGCTGTTATACAGTTGATGAAACTTCTGTTGTATTCGTTTTCCTCGGGCTAGGGCGCTCTTTGTATACCCTTCTCAAGTCAATTTATACTATAATATTTGAGAAAAAAAACACAGTTCTGTTCCTCCCGAACACATCTTTCTAAGAAAATTTTTACTTAAAAGTTTAAACTTTATTTCAGAAATGATTTTTCTTAATATAGATAGACTTTTATTTTATTTAATAGACATTTAGACAGGGAGAACATGATTTATT